GGTTTAGTGACTCTTCCAAAGTTACAGCCAGCTGAGGACAGCTGGGGATCAACACAGACCTCTCCTGCTTGCAGCCTGCTTCCTCTTCCTATAGCTTCCCAGGCCACCCCAGATCCTTCACCCTCTTTCATATCCTCTCCCCCATCCCCAGGTGACACAGGACAAGATCATCTGTCTGCCCAGTCATGAACCCCGGGAGAATTTATCTGAAGCCCCGTGCCAGCAGCTGCTGCCGCGGGGGGTCTCAGAGCCCATGGGGGACCTCCGGGAGTTGAGTGGCCTCAAGAACAACCTGGACCTACAGCAGTACAGCTTCATCAACCAACTCTGCTACGAGACGGCCCTTCACTGGTACGCCAAGTACTTCCCCTATCTGGTGGTCATCCACACGCTCATCTTCATGGTCTGCACCAGTTTCTGGTTCAAGTTCCCCGGCACCAGCTCCAAGATCGAGCACTTCATCTCCATCCTGGGCAAGTGTTTTGACTCGCCATGGACTACTCGGGCGCTGTCCGAGGTCTCCGGGGAGAACCACAAGGGCCCTGCCGCCACCACAGCTGGGCGGGCGACAGTGACCGTGACCACAACAGCAGGGCTGGGGAAGGCAGGGGAGGGTGAGAAGGAGAAGGTGTTGGCAGAGCCCGAGAAGGTGGTGACAGAGCCCCCAGCTGTCACCCTGCTGGACAAGAAGGAGGGGGAGCAGGCCAAAGCCCTGTTTGAAAAGGTCAAGAAATTCCGCGTGCACGTGGAGGAGGGCGACATCCTGTATAGCATGTACATCCGGCAGACGGTGCTCAAGGTCTGCAAGTTCTTGGCCATCCTGGTCTACAACCTGGTCTATGTGGGAAAGATCAGCTTCCTGGTGGCCTGCAGGGTGGAGACCTCGGAGGTGACAGGCTATGCCAGCTTCTGCTGCAACCACACCAAGGCCCACCTCTTCTCCAAGCTGGCTTTCTGCTACATCTCCTTCGTGTGCGTCTATGGGATCACCTGTCTCTACACCCTCTATTGGCTCTTCCACCGGCCTCTCAAGGAGTACTCCTTCCGGTCGGTGCGGGAGGAAACCGGCATGGGCGACATCCCCGATGTCAAGAACGACTTCGCCTTTATGCTGCACCTCATCGACCAGTACGACTCACTCTACTCCAAGCGCTTTGCTGTCTTCCTCTCTGAGGTCAGCGAGAGCCGCCTGAAGCAGCTCAACCTCAACCACGAGTGGACTGCCGAGAAGCTTCGGCAGAAGCTGCAGCGCAACGCCCGGGGCCGGCTGGAACTGGCCCTCTGCATGCTCCCGGGGCTGCCAGACACGGTCTTTGAGCTCAGCGAGGTGGAGGCGCTGCGGCTGGAGGCTATCGGCGACATCACCTTCCCCCCGGGCCTCTCACAGCTGGTTCACCTGCAGGAGCTGAGCCTGCTCCACTCGCCCGCCAGGCTTCCATTCTCCTCGCAGATCTTCCTGCGGGACCGCCTGAAGGTCATCCGAATCAAGTGCGAGGAGCTGCGGGAGGTGCCCCTGTGGGTGTTTGGGCTGCGCGGTCTGGAGGAGCTGCATCTAGAGGGTCTCTTCCCCCCAGAGCTGGCCCGGGCGGCCACCCTAGAGAGCCTCCGGGAACTGAAGCAGCTGAAGGTGCTGTCTCTGCGGAGCAACGCCGGCAAGGTTCCCGCCAGCGTTACTGATGTGGCCGGCCACCTGCAGCGCCTCAGCCTGCACAACGACGGGGCGCGTCTGTTGGCGCTGAACAGCCTTAAGAAGCTGGCGGCGCTGCGGGAGCTGGAGCTGGTGGGCTGTGGGCTGGAGCGCATCCCCCATGCCGTCTTCAGCCTAGGCGCACTGCAGGAGCTCGACCTCCGGGACAACCACCTGCGTTCCATCGAGGAGATCCTCAGCTTCCAGCACTGCCGCAAGCTGCTCACGCTACGGCTGTGGCACAACCAGATCGCCTACGTCCCCGAGCATGTGAGGAAGCTCCGGGGCCTCGAGCAGCTCTATCTGAGCCACAACAAGCTGGAGACGCTGCCCACCCAGCTCGGCATGTGCTCCAGCCTCCGCCTTCTGGACGTCTCGCACAATGGGCTGCACTCCCTGCCAGCCGAGCTGGGTCTGCTGCAGAATCTTCAGCACTTGGCTGTCTCCTACAATGCCCTGGAGTTTCTACCCGAAGAGCTCTTCTTCTGCCGCAAGCTGCGGACGCTGCTCCTAGGTTACAACCACTTGAGCCAGCTCGCGCCCCAGGTGGGGGCCCTCAGGGCCCTCAGCCGCCTGGAGCTCAAGGGCAACCGGCTGGAAGCACTGCCGGAAGAGCTTGGCAACTGTGGGGGGCTCAAGAAGTCGGGGCTGCTGGTGGAGGACACGCTTTACGACGGGCTGCCGGCTGAGATACGGGACCGGATGGAGGCGGAGTGAAGCCAGGGAGGGAGGACAGGTTGAGGTCAACGCCTCCTGGATGCTACCGCCCCGGAATCTACCATTATCTTCGAGGGAGGTGGCCAAGTGGGCCCCAGCCAGGAGACAAGGAACAGACATGTCAGGTTGATGGAGCCCAGGCAAGATCCTGAGACTGGTTTGTCTGGGAGGCTGTGGATTTGGGGTGGAACATCCTAGAGAGATTAACTCAGTCAGAAGACTCTCAGACCAAAACCACACCCGTGTCTTTGGCTTGGCTCACCTGCCCCTAGCCTTGGGCCAGAGATGCTGCCCTCCCCCAGACAGCAACCACAGTACCCCATATGGGGAGTGGGGTGGGGGAGGCTCATCCCAATGGGATTTCAACCCTTTCCCCCTGACCAAAACAGCTTACATCTGGGGTTTTCTCCCAATGAGGGGACACAGACATAAGGGACCAACCTCCCCCCCCACCCCAATTTTGATATTAATCTCCTATTTATAAGTTGCTTGCTATGGACACCTGAACTTAGAAAGCAGTGGTTCTCATATTTGGCTGAAATCAACATCTCCAAAACAAAACATCCCAGGCCCCACCCTTGAAAGGCTGACTCAGGACGTTGGCTGGAGGCCAGGAACTTGCTGGTAAACAAGCATTCCAGGTAATTCTGATTCTGACCATCCCAGGCCTGAATGTTGGAAATGCTGACCTACAGAGTAGATATCTGGGTGTCGAGAGCAGGGATTCTGAATTTGGTTTTAGATCCCTAGATGCCTTGAGAAATCTGATGAAAGCTGGGCACCTCCTTCCTCAGGAAAATGCTCCTGTTCACATAAGTTAAAAGCTCTGCAGGCAACTTAAAGCAATCAACGTTCCCCCAGAACCCCCAGGGGGATTGGAACACCTGCAAGGGAGGTACAGTTTTCTGTAGGCTGGGGCTTTCTTTCAATGTTCCCTATGTGAAGGAGTGTATATCAGTGGGTGCTTAATAAATAACACTATGAGAACTATAATTTTTTTGGCTGAGCTGGGCCTTCCTTGCTGCACTCAGGTGTCCTCTGACCGTGGTGCATGGGTTTCTCATTGTGGTCACTTCTCTTTTGCAGAGCACAGGCTCAGTAGCTGCGGCACAAGGGCTTAGTGGCTCCGTGGCACGTGGAATCTCCCCAGGCCAGGAATCGAACCCATATCCCCCGTGTTGGCAGGTGGATTCTTACCCAGCCCAGGGAAGTCTGAAAATGATAAATCTGATCCCTTGTGTCCACTCCTGCTGTTGTCTAAGGTTTCTATTCAACCAGACCAAGTACAGGCAAGTGGCAACAGTCAGCTGCTAGAATCAAGGCTATAAGCCTCTTCCCTGGGAGCAGAGGCAAAGAGAGACCTCAGTTAACCAGGAGACATCAGGTGGTCGTCTACCTAGCCTTTCTCTGGTAGAACTGCCTGTCCTTTACATTCAGTTATTCTCATGGCTCCACAGTTTTGGATCTGCTTCACCCATAAATTGTCACCAGGAGAGTCATCAAAAACCTTCAACACCCATCAGTTTTCTCTTTGCTAGAGTGGGCAGGGCCTTGGCACAGACTGCCCAACCCTGACCTCCTGGGATCCCCACCTCCATGGTGTCTTCAACATGTGAGCCTCTTCCAGGCACCAGAGAGCAGAAGCAAGCTGCTCACCTGGGCGCCGCAGAGTTCCTGATGGGGACATTTTCCGAGCACTCTTCAGACCAGCTGAAGAAAATGTGTAGGTGGCGAAGACACCAGGTGGAGGAACCAAACCCCAGGTCCTAACTCTGCATTGTCCCGGAGCTAAACAGATGAGGGATGTCTTCAAATTTCCCACGGCCAGTCTGACTTGGAACTCTCTAGCCTTGACCTTGGCCCCACGTCGCTGAGGGCAGGGATCACGCCGCTGGATTCCCACCGTCCAGGCAGTGGCCCAAACCCTACCCCGCCCATCCTTCAAGTCCTCGTGGCCAACCCTGACCCCGCTGAAATGGAAAGGGCTTCCCACAGGTGCCTAATTATGGTGAGTAGGCAGCAATTAAACACAACAGGGACCGTAACGAAGCACTGTCCGAGAGGAGAAAGGCAGTTTTGGAAGGCGTGGGTGCCAGCTAGGGCCGGCCGGGAAAAGAAAGAACGAATCTGAGGATAGCCTGGCGACCACCGGGGACAGCGGCAGGAAATTTAAAAAAAAAAAGAGAGCGAGGGGCCAGGAACGCGCATGCGCAGCAGACGGCACGCGCGCACTCTCGTTTCCCCTTCTGTGCGCCTGCGCGCTGCTTTCTCCTCCCATGGCTCTGTGTGAGTGGTGAGTGGGTTTTCAAACAGCGCCTCCTGCCGGAGCTCTCGGGGATTTGCACATGCGCATCACACTGGAAGGATGTGTACGCTGCCACCCGCGAGCTCTAGGAGGCGTCACCCCTCCGGCTGGGACGAAGCACGCACGCGCGGAGATTCGCACGCGGGAAGGGCGGGTGCGCGCCTAGGGCATGCGCCGTGCAGAGCGAGACGGCGGCTCGGCGGGGTCATCCAAGCGCAGGCGCAGTGCGGTGTTTGTCTGCCGGACTGACGGGCGGCCGGGCGGTGCGCGGCGGCGGCGGCGGCGGGGAAGATGGCGGCGTCCTCCCTGGAACAGAAGCTGTCCCGCCTGGAAGCAAAGCTAAAGCAGGAGAACCGCGAGGCCCGGCGGAGGATCGACCTCAACCTGGATATCAGCCCCCAGCGGCCCAGGCCCAGTAAGCACGGCGGCATGGGGGAGGGGGCGGGCGGGGCGGGGCGCGCGCTGCGGGAGGCCCCGCCCCCGCCGCCAGGCCCCGCCCCCGCTTCCGGGGCGCTCTTGCTCCTCCTCCTCTCCGCCCGGCTCCCCGCTGTCGGCCTGCGGGGAGAGGGTCACGGTGACCCGGGGGTCGTGGGGCCCGTGAGCTCCCCGTCAGTCCTCACCCTGCCTCGGGGCTCCCCCTAATGGGGCCTGGGAACCTAGTTAGTTACCGGCTCCAGGGCGAGGCCCTCCATCTGATGACCCGCCCCCAATCACCGGGAACCTCGGAGCCTCTGTCACCTACTCTGAGCCTTGGTGCTCCTACTCTATGCAGCCAAGACCACATCCAGCTCCTCCGTATACGTGTACACATCCCTTTTCACCAGCTGATTCCAAGATTCAAGAGGTCCCCTCCCCCGCCACCTGGGTCCTTGTTAGCCGGGTTCAGCAGATGACACAAGTGCACCTGACCTGGGGACAGCTGACATCGCTGGACCATGTATAACTGCCCCAGTGATTGTGTCTAGTGCTCCCTTCTTCCCGCTCTGAGATCTTGTCACTGGTTCAGCAGACTTCCTGCCACCTACCTTTTTACCCACCGAAGCCAGGCCCCTCATACTCCTCGGACTAGTTTCACTGCCACCATCTTTCTGGATTATCCAGAAATAAATACGCAGCTTCCAAGTGTGGCAACTTTGTCACCTTGAATCAAGTGACTCCCCCTTCCACACACAGCCCAGGGACACCTGAGGCCAGTGTGAGGCTACCTGGGCATCCCAGGATATACACGTATCGCTCCTTTGTGATCCCACGATCTCGGCGCCTGTCTGTCCGGAATCCTGTCCTCTGGCATCAAGAGCTGCCCCTCAACACCCGCACCTGGCCCGGGATCACCATGCGACATCTAGTCTGCTTGTAACGTCCTGCGGAACCCTTCCGCACATCCTGGAAGCTCACAGGGAGTCAGATTTTCCCCCTTCCTACTGACCTGATGAAGAGCATCCTCCACACCTGCTTTTTCTTCTTTATATAACTTTTTTGGCCACTTCTTGTGGTATTCGGGATCTTAGTTCCACGACTAGGGATGGAACCCGTGCCCCCTGCCTGCATTGGAAGTGCAGAGTATAAACCACTGGACTACCAGGGAAGTCCCCTCCCACACATGCTTTCTGTGTCTCTCTTGACCCAGCAAATTCCCCTTGTTAACCCCACTGATATGACTTGTGGCTTATGTAGCTCCCTGTCGGCCCATCTTGAGAGGTGGGGAAGATAGCTGCTCATCTGGGTATTCCCACCACCCCCTCATCACCCCCTATTCTCGTATATGGTCCACTCCCCACCCTCCCTTTTCTGCCCTTGGTCCGTGTGGGCTCCTTACTGGAGTGGGGAGGGGTCTCTAGGGGCCCCAGAAGACCCCTGAGGCAGCAATGCTGTGTTAAGACTCTGGGGTAGGAAGCCCAGCCAGGACTGGAGGGTCCCCACCAGGCTCTTCAGTGCTGCTCCCCCTCCAGCCCCAGCGTGGATGAGACAGGCCCGGACAGGGCCGGGGGTGCCTGGCAGGGTGGCTGTCCCAGGTGGGCAGGGAGGCACAAGGAGACCCATGGAGAACATGCCCTGGGGAGCCCCCTCCTGGCACCTGTGTCTGTCAGCTCCATCCCATCCTTTCAGCCCTCCCATCTCTGTTCTCTGCAGTTTGGTGCCGCGTGCCTCCCCCCTCCTCCTTGTTATGATTTGATTTTCTTTTCTTTTGGACAAATCAGTTGTTTCTGTTGTGATTTATTGTGGTGTTGTTTTTCTTTTTTTTTTTCTTCCTTTTCCCCATCCAGTTATTGTGATCACTCTAAGCCCTGCTCCTGCCCCGTCCCAACGAGCAGGTACCAGCCTTTTTATCATCGCTGCTTGGATCTCTGCACCATTGACCTAACCGCTGCCCTGGCCGCAGAATGCCATCCCCCCCCCCCCATGCTCCGTGTGTGCGTGTGCGTCCCCCCGTCCCACCCTCACTCTCTCTCCAAACACACGGTCAACGTCTGGCCCACCCGGGCACTTCCTCTGTGTCCTGTCCCCTTCTGCTCCTTTGTTTCTCTCGGGCTCAGGTCTGCACTCCCCGCTGGAGGAAACAGACTCTCTCCCCTGCCAGGAGTCTGTCGCCTGCTGAGGGGGTCCCGAGTGTCCGTGCGCGTGCCTGCAGGCATGTGTGTGTGTGTGCGCACGCGTGTGTGTGAGTGGAGGGAGGGAAGGTTGGGCTCCCTACCTGTTGATCCACCTCATCAGCTCAGCGGACCCGTGTCGCCCCCACCCTGTGCTGAGCAGGCCTGGACTGAGCCCATCTGTTCCAGGGGCTGGTGCTCCCGTGGGGGTGGAAGGCCCTGGGGGTTGGAGGGTCCTCTGGGCAGGGAGAAGTGGAAGAGGCCCTGTGCCTTGGAGGAAAGGCCCAGTGGAGCAGGGTCATGGGTTCTGCAGGGTTGGGGGTGGGGGGTGGGGGGCGGTGGTTGGGAAGCCTGGGGAGAAGGTGGCATTTGAGCAAAGTCTCCTGGGAGGTGGGGGAGCACAGGAGTGGAAGGAAACAGCCCCCCAGGGCCCAAGAGGGAGCCAGGCGTGCCTGTGAGGAAGGTGGGGGATGGGGGGCAGGCTGGCCTCATTGATCCTTGTGTGTGGAATAGGACTGTGTTGGGAAGTATGTGTGTGCGTGTGTGTGTGTGTAAGTAAGAACAGGAGGGAGAGCTGGCTCTGTCGGTCCTGTGGCGTGGCGTCTGCACGTGCTTGTGGGTTCGTGCCGTGCCCTGTGTGTGTGTGCGCGTGTGCTCGCTGACAGCCTGGCAGGCTGCATGCTCCACCCCGCCCCACCGCCCTGTGTCTCCCTCACCCTCACTCACTCATCCTCCTCTTTTCCGTCTCCCCATCAGTCTTTCACTCTCGTTCGGCCTTCTTGACCTGCCGTGGGCCCGGCACCACCTGTGTGATCTCTGTTCTCAGGGCCTCTGTGTACCTCCCCCCCGCCTTACCCTCCTCAGCCATCCTGCACCGGCCCCTCTTAAACACCTACTGTGCTTCAGTTTGTGGGACCGGCTGGAAGCCTCTCTCCCCCCACGAGCTGCCTTGGCCCCGGGCTCTGGGGGAGCCTTCAGAGGGCCCGGTGGACTGTGTGAGGGGTGGGGGTGGGAGGCCGACAGGGCACAGAAAGGCCTAGGGAGGGGAGGGGGGTGGTCCTCACCCCGGGAGCCAATGACAGTGTGGGGCAGCCTGCCAGGGATCCAGGGTCCCAGAGCTTGAGGGTCTTTGGGAGCCCTGGAGGGTGTCCAGCCAGAGAGGGAGGGTTTAGGACCAGACTTCTGGCCGTGGTAGAGCAGGGAGGGCACCGGAGGAGAGGCCACTGGGCCAGTGAAGGGGACTGGGCTCAACTACGTCCTCGGGCTCCCAGGTCTCTTCCATCACTCTCACCAGGCCCTCCTGGGACTGGCAGGCCAGGCTCAGAGGTCTGCTCCTCACTCTGGCTGCGACCAAGGTCGTAGGCCAGCAGGGCACAGAAAGTGCCTGGGCGCCAAGAGCCACACTGTATCTGTCTGCCCATTGGTCACTGGGCCCATGTCACCAGGCGCCTGCAGAACTTGCAGGGGAGAAGCTCCCAGCCCCCCGCCCAGCTCCCAGCCCACTCTCCAAGGGGAGGTGAACCTGGGGGGTTCTTGTAGCCTTCGGCCTTCCCAGCCAGGGGCTCCCTTCTGGAGGCCGAGTGCCAGGGTCTCTGAGGTTCACGGGTTCCCTGGAGAGTCGTCCATCTTTTCCAGGGCCACTCTGGCCTCTGCTCCCACTCTGTGGCCTGCCTGGCCCGGAGGCTCCTTGTGCATCAGGGGCCTGCTCTCCTGTCCCCAGCTCCTCTCTGGCCTGTCTCTGCAGAGCCTCTTCTGGGCAGCTGGGCCCCAAGTCTCAGCTCCCATCTGTCTGTCTCCCACCTTCCCGTCCCCTAACGCCGCCTGCCCGTCCTGGGGTGCCCGCTGCCTGCCCGCTGCCTGCCCGCCTGCCTGTAGCATGCCCAAGCTGTCCGCATGCAGGCTTCTGAAAGAACCGAGCTCCCCTCCTGGCCTGGCCCCCGTCCCTGGAGCCCTGGAGGGGCTGGGTCAGCTGGCTCCCTTTACCTGAAGGACACAGGTCCAGCTCGGGCTCCTGCCCTGGCCTCATTGGCCCCAGCTCTGCAGGCCAGGCCGGAGGCTCACAGAGTCTGCTGGCCAGAGGGCAGCCCTCCCTGACCCTGAAACAGAACAGGCGAGGCAGCCGGAAGCCTGGGTCCCTCACCCACTCTCTCACCAGTTCAGCGTTGCCAGCTTCTGGGGGCAGTGGCCCTGGGCCTCTTACCGGGCAGAGTGGGGAGGAAGGGGCCCCAGGGTGGGGTGGCCTACCTGCCCAAGGTCCACTAGCAGCCTCAGGGCCTCCTTTCTCTATCAGGGAATACTTGGGGTGAACCCTCAGCCTCTGGGGACCGCTACAAGCCCTTCCCAGTCAGGGGGGCCGGGAGAAAGCACCCCGAGAGTGGCCTAGGAGCAGGGCGCTCCCCAGGGTGGGGCGGCCTACCTGCCCAAGGTCCACTAGCAGCCTCAGGGCCTCCTTTCTCTATCAGGGAATACTTGGGGTGAACCCTCAGCCCCCACAGCCCGCTACAAGCCCTTCCCAGTCAGGGCGGCCGGGAGAAAGCACCCCGAGAGTGGCCTAGGAGCAGGGCGCTCCCCGTCTACCAGGGCTGGGGGCTGTGCCGGCCCACCTGAGGGATACCGGGGAGGGAAGGATGGGGGCGCCAGGCCCTGCAGTTGGGGCCAGCCGGGAGCTAACCCCCTCCCCACCCCTGGTTCTCACCACCCCCCAGCCCTGCAGCTCCCACTGGCCAACGATGGGGGCAGCCGCTCACCGTCCTCCGAGAGCTCGCCGCAGCACCCCACACCCCCCGCCCGGCCCCGCCACATGTTGGGGCTGCCTTCAACCTTGTTCACACCCCGCAGCATGGAGAGGTGAGCCACCTGGGGGATGGTTAGGAGATCGGGGCGCAGGGCCAGCCTTGGGGTGGCACTGGTGAGCTGTGTGGAACCCCCTGTGTGTTGGGGGCTGGGGTCACCTCATGTTGGTCAGGACCCCCCTCCACCGGCACCCACTCCCTCTCCATTCAGCATCGAGATTGACCAGAAGCTGCAGGAGATCATGAAGCAGACGGGCTACCTGACCATCGGGGGCCAGGTAACGTGACGCACTTCCCTTGGCAGCCCCAGGGAGGGTGGGTGGGACAGCTGGTAAATGTGGGCCGGGGGTGAGGGCAGCGGCCTGCTGGATCCCCAGCCCTGGCTCTCCTCGCCAGCGCTACCAGGCGGAGATCAATGACCTGGAGAACCTGGGGGAGATGGGCAGTGGCACCTGCGGCCAGGTGTGGAAGATGCGCTTCCGGAAGACGGGACACATCATTGCTGTCAAGGTGAGCCCGCCCCGCCCTGCCCATGGGAGCTCAACCCCCTCCGTGTCCCACGGGGGCCCCGCGCCCCAGGCTCCGCGCTAAGCCCTCGGCTGTCCTGTGCAGCAAATGCGGCGCTCGGGGAACAAGGAGGAGAACAAGAGGATCCTCATGGATTTGGACGTGGTGCTCAAGAGCCACGACTGCCCCTACATTGTGCAGTGCTTCGGGACTTTCATCACCAACGTGAGACGAGGGCTCCCCCCCACCCCCCCATCTCCTCCCCCAGGCCCTGAGCCTGTTGGGTGGGCAGAGGGGTACAGCCACTGCTGTCCCTGCAGACGGATGTCTTCATCGCCATGGAGCTCATGGGCACGTGCGCGGAGAAGCTGAAGAAGCGGATGCAGGGCCCCATCCCCGAGCGGATCCTGGGCAAGATGACGGTGGCAGTGAGTGGCCTGGAGGGTTCAGGTGGGCAGGCAGGTGACCCCCCCAGCCTCAGCCTCCACGTCACTGACCAGTGCCCTCCCCTGCCTACGCTGCAGATTGTGAAGGCGCTCTACTACCTGAAGGAGAAGCATGGCGTGATCCACCGTGATGTCAAGCCCTCCAACATCCTGCTGGACGAGCGGGGCCAGATCAAGCTCTGTGACTTCGGCATCAGTGGCCGCCTGGTCGACTCCAAAGCCAAAACGCGGAGCGCTGGCTGTGCCGCCTACATGGCAGTAAGTGGGGGGCCCCGGGGGTGCCAGTGGGAGGGGTGCTGGCGGGAGTGGTGGCACACCCACCCCAGCCCCAGGGGTCCATCACCCTCTCCCACCGGCAGCCCGAGCGCATCGACCCCCCGGATCCCACCAAGCCCGACTACGACATCCGGGCCGATGTGTGGAGCCTGGGCATCTCCTTGGTGAGTTGGGTCCCCGGCTTTTGGAGGCTGGGTTTTCTTGGGACGTGGAGGCAGGCAGTGGCAGCAGAAAGGGCAGGGCCCCCTCCTCCTTGGCCAGCCCAGCCCTGCCCATTTCTCTCCCAGGTGGAGCTGGCGACAGGACAGTTCCCCTACAAGAACTGCAAGACGGACTTTGAGGTCCTCACCAAAGTCCTCCAAGAGGAGCCCCCGCTCCTGCCCGGACACATGGGCTTCTCGGGGGACTTCCAGTCCTTCGTCAAAGACTGGTGAGCACCCCCAGCCCAGAAGGCAGGGCGAGGTTAGACATGACCCTGAGCTTAGGCCACTGGGGTGGGGTGAAGGGCCCCCTGGGATGGGGGTGGGGGGCTGCAGATTGGAGCCAGAGCCTAAGCCCTAGGGGCTAGAAGTTGGGTCCAGACTCAGCCACAGGGGACCTAGGGTGTTTGGCAGGGTGGTCCTTGGGCTTCACCAGGGAACTGTGAATAAGCACAGGTATCCCAGGCCTTATAGCTGGGTCCACACAGGAGCTCCCGTGGGAGGAGGGGAGCCCACCCATCCACCCACCAATCTACCCACCCCCCGACCTACCTGCTTCTCCCATGGGCATCTCACAGTGTGTGTCAGGCTTCTGTCACAGACGAGGGGCCTGAGTGCCAACCCCGGCCCCTCTGTCAGCACAAGGCTTGGGGGGCGGGGAGGACATGGGTTCTGGCCTGCAGATCCAGCAGCCCTGACTCAGTGGGGCGGCCAGCCAGGCCCCTTCTCCTGGCTCTCATTTCTCTCCTCTCTCTCTCTCTCCAGCCTTACTAAAGATCACAGGAAGAGACCAAAGTATAATAAGCTACTTGTGAGTACCCAGGACCCCTCTCAGCCCCATCCAAAAACCCCTGCCCCACTGGAGGCCAGGCGGCCAGGGAAGAGACACCCTGGTCCTGAGCCCCACCCCCTTGGGTCCCCAGGAACACAGCTTCATCAAGCGCTACGAGACGCTGGAGGTGGACGTGGCGTCCTGGTTCAAGGATGTCATGGCGAAGACCGAGTCACCGAGGACAAGCGGGGTCCTGAGCCAGCACCACCTGCCCTTCTTCAGGTAGCCGCACGGCTGCGGCCGGCCCGCTGGGGGGACGTGGCCTCAGGCCCCCCTGCCCTGCACAGTCCCCCAGCTGCCCACCAGGGGAGCCCTGGGACCCGGACGGCCGACGAGGGCTGAGGACAGATAGTAGGGGGTGCCGACCCACCCCCCGACTCCCTGCCCACCAGCCGTGGACAGATGGGCCTGCCAGGCCCCAGCCCTTTCCCGTCCTGGGATCAGCCGGCCGTACACGTCCCCCAACCCCGACAGACACTGTGAACGGAAGACAGCAGGCCGCGAGCAGTCTCGCTATTTATTCAGTTGTAACCTCTGGGCTGGGGCGGCCCCCAGGGGTCGGGAGAGAGCCGCCATTCCCTGCACCCTCCCACACCGCGCTGTCCCCATCTCCCCCTCCATGCACACATGCGCCCTGGCTCCATCTCCCTCTCTGCCACTTCCCTCTCTACCTCTCTGGCTTTCCCCGTCTCCCTCCCTGCCTCTGCCTCTCTCCTGGCCCAGGCCCTGCCACCCCTGGCAGGACCCCTGGGTCCACTTAGGTCCCTGGCCAGTGATGAGCCAGTTGGCGGGCGCCCTTCCCCCGGCAGGCGGGCTGGACATTGTGACTGCAGCCAGACCTGGCTGGTCTCTCTCTTTCTCTCTCTCTTTGATCTCAGGGGGTCCTTTTTGGAGTTTATTGTATTTTATTGTACTTGGTGGGGTGTTTGGGGGTGGGGGGAGGAGAAGAGCTTGTTCTCATGGGCTTTGTTGGTACCTTCAGAAACTTTTACCAAAGTCGTGTTTAGCTGCTTGTGGCGGCAGCCCCCTGAACCGCCTCTGGGTACTGGGGGGCTGGGCTGGGGGCTGAGCCGTGGGGGCTCAGGCCACCACCTGGGAGACACTAGTCCCAAAGGTGGGCTCTGGGGGTGGGGGATTGCTCCTCCCTCAGGGCTGGAGACTGGCCAAGCTTGCAGGGGTGAGTGGAGGACCTCAGGGGGTATGGAGGAAGCCCAAGGGGCCATGGCCACACAGGGTGGCCTTCAGGGACAGTAGGCGCGGGGCGTGGTGGAGGGCAGCCGGCGCTGGTGTGGCAGGGAGGTGGCGGAGGGAACGGGTGACAGGAGGGGGTCCATGGGGCCCCGGGAGGCAGGGATGAGGGTGCATGGATTGGACGCGGGGGTTCGAGGACGTGTTGACAGGGACAGAGGTGGGAGCAGGCCAAGGGCTGGGCGTGTGCAGGCAGTTACGCCCTTGTAGTGGCCCTCAAGTGCCCCTCGACTCACCCGGAGCTGGCCAGTGCCCAGCCCACCCTGAGGCCCCGGCGTCCATGGGGCCCTGGGCAGCAAGCAGCCAGAGCAGGAGGGACTGTTTCCTTGTTGTTGGTGACGCATGCAAATCAAGTGGACAGTAGAACAAAATAACGTAACAGGAAAAAAAAAGGAAAAAGAAAACCCCAGAAAAACCACAAAAATCAACCAACACCAAAGGTGAGGAACCTCGCTGGATGTAGCTGAAGCAATCTAGACTAGGCATCATTGTACCCTCCATTTATCTCACCGAATCTAGTTACTACTAGGGTAGTCACAAAACGCCGCATGTTTAAAAAGTACTCGAAGTCATCTTTGTCCCCCGCCCCAGGGGGTGGCCACCTTTTCTTGCTCCAGTCCCCTTTGTGAGGGGAGGGGGGCAGGGTGTGGGGCCAGTAGGCATGGCCTCCGCCCTCCCTTGCCAGGGGCCTTTCTGGGTAGCTGGGAAGGTTGCATGGCCAGCCCCAAGGCCCGCACAGGCCTGAGGCCAGCTGCCTGGGTTTAATTTTTATTTAACTTTATTTTCTGTTTTGTGTGTGAGTGTCCACCCATGTCCCCCTCCCCTTCAGTGTTAAATGGAAGCCTCTCCTCCCCCCCCCCCCGCCACCCATGTCCCCCTCCCCACGCCCCCCAGTCACCAGCCACCCCCCCTCTCAACCAGGCAGAGGGCAGAGTGGGCAGCCAGGGGCCTGGGGTGGCCTGGCCCAGCCCATTGGCCCCCCACCCCTTCTCAGGCCGCCAGTATTGCCCCATCCCTTTTTAAAACAAAATGCCCTCGTTTGTAAATCCTTAGACGCTTGAGAATAAAACCCCTCCCTTTTCTTCCACTTGAGTCTGTGGTGTGTGTCCTGAGCCTGGCAGCAAGGTGGGAAAAGGGGAAGGGGTCCTGAGGCCTGACCTTGGAAGTGGGGGGCTGGGAGCCATTCTAGTGGACAAGGCCTATGCAGTGAGGGGAGGCAGGGCTGGGGGCCAGAGGGATTGTTTTTAGTGACTTGCCGCATATTTAATGGCCAGTGTGTGGGACCTCCCCCTAACCTGATAGCCACAGGTCCGGTGGGAGAGCCCTTAATCCCCGGCCGGCCTTGGGCGCCAGCTCTGATGTCGACCCAACAGTCTGCCGCCCCCGTTCCTTGCCTCCTGAAGTGGCCACCTAGTCAAGGACAGGGCCGCCTGCCCACCTCCTGGGTGTGGGTGCTGCCTGGCTGGCGCCTCTGCCACCAGCTCCTCACGCTCTCACCTCAGCCAGGCCAGCATGCTGGGCACCGCGCTCCTGCTGCTGGCCCTGCTCCCGGGGCCCACCGCCTTGCCCAGCGAGCCAGCTGGTATGTACAGGCGAGGGGACGTGGGCTGGCACAAACCCGTTCCTGTGCTGCCCTATCAACGCAACCTCTCATCTACCCTGCCTGGGGGAACAGGGGTGGGTGGGTGGAAGGTGGGGTCTCCCCCACCCCCGATTCCAGGTTGTCTTGGATCCCCAACTTCAAACTCCCCAGCAGCCATGGGGAGGCTAAGGGCTGTGGGAGGGGAGTGGTCTGCACAAATGATCTTGGGTACTGTGCATGGGTGATCCTGAACGTTTAGATAACATCCTTTGAGAAGAACATAGTCGAGTGCCTCCTGAAGGCAGATGGGGGTAGTGGGGTGACCACATACCCCAGTGGGGGCTCCCCGGTGCGTATTCCCTTTGCTGCTGCTGCTGCCCTCAGTCCAGAAGTGAGGAGCCAGACATGGGGAAAAGCCCCAGACCCTGGTGGCCAGGCTTTCGCCCCATGATGCCGAAAGGGTTGGAGGAAGACCCCCTTGCTATTATCCCCAACCCTTAGAAAGGAAAGGGTGGGGTCAGCATCGTCCCCCCTAGACGGCCCTGCTGTGATCCCAAAGCAGTCCCTGGTCCTGGGTGGGTGGGGGGAGGAGAGGACCTCTGTGCTCACCCAGACTGACCATCCACCATCAGGCTCCCCTCAGCCCCGCCCCCGCTGGGGATCCTTTGCCCGCTGCAGGTGGAGAAGACGGGGTCTGGAAAAAGGGGCGCCTCCCCAGGAAGGTGCAGCTTTGCGTCCAGGCTCAGGGGCTGGGCTGGGACGTCCTGGGGGTCTCCAGGGGGTACATCACAGCAAGTTTATGGCTGAGGGCGTGAGGCACAGAGCCGAACGCAGGTGAATCCTCCACCACAACTGCATCCATCTTCCAAAGAAGGCAGGGAAGGCGGGAGGTGGGCCGGGGGAACCAAGAGACAGCGCGACATCCCTCTCCTGTGCCACTCTTTCTCCCCGCCAGAGCCCCCGTTCCCTGCGGCGCCCGCGCCCTGGCTGCGCCGACCCCTTTTCAGTCTGGAGCTGTCGGATGCGGAGGACGGCTTCCCGCGCCGTGCGGGGCCGCTCGAGGTCCCAGCGGACAGCCGCGTGTTTGTGCAGGTAGACGCGGGACGCACGGAGGCCGGGTGAGGGCCGGTGGGGGCTGCCGATCCTGATGGCGACCCCGCCCCCCAGGCGTCCCTGGCCCGTCCCTCCCCGCGCTGGGGCTTGGCCCTGCACCGCTGCTCCGTAACCCCGTCCTCTCGTCCAGCCCCGGGCCCCGCCCTGGCACTGCTGCGCGGGGGCTGCTCCGCCGACTCCTCGGTCACCTTCCCACCACCGCAGCCGCTCCTCGGTGCCGCCCGTCCCGCGCGTTTCAGCTTCCGCCTGCGCCCGGTCTTCAACGCCTCTGTGCAGTTCCTGCACTGCCAACTGAGTCGCTGCCGCCGCCTCCACAGAGCCCGCTGGACGCCTGCGCCTTTGACAATGCCTACACTGTCCCCGGTGCGCGGGCGCAGGACCGGGAACCTCGGCGCCCGGGCCCATCAAGGGTTGGGCGCAAGCGCCTCCGACATCCGAGGGAGAAACTCCTTAGCGTTTGGACATCTGGGTGCTTTTAGACCTGGGGGCAGTGGTTATCTCGAAACTGGGAGTAGGTACTGGGTCTCAGGCTGGGGTTGGGGGCAGAGACGTCCGAAGGGGCCATTTTTCCAGGGTTCTAGTGATGCGATCCCTGGTTGCAACAGAGTGCTGGACACTTAGATCTGCCTGCGGCCCAGTCCGTGGAGTCCGGCCCCTGACATTCCCGTCTCTTGTGCCCCCTTTCCTTGCAGTGTCTGCCTCAGGATGAGGCGTGCGCGGGCGCCAGCAGTGGCAGCGATGAGAGCCCGGGTGCTGACAGCCCCCACCTGCACACACTGACGCAGCCCATCGTAGTGACTGTGCCACGGCTGCCCCCCAGTGAGCGCGCAGCAGTCCTCCGCGGGGGGATCTCTGGGGTCCAGAAGGGGGTAGGGAGGACATCTGAGGCCTGATCCCAGTCTTAGCGTTGTACTTCTCACAGGGCTACCCAAGGGCTTCCCGGGCAGAGCTGTGCGCCCCGAGTCTTCCACGCCGGCCCCGCAGGCCCTGGAGCCCGCGCCGGTGGTAGCGCTAGTGTTGGCCGCTTTCGTGCTGGGCGCCGCTGTGGCCGCCGGGCTCAGCCTTGTGTGCGCGCACTCAGGTACCAAACTCCGCCCTCCAAGATCTCCGCCTGGCCCCCAGTCTATTCCAGAGCGTTAGCCTGCTCGGCCCTGAACATCCCTAGACCGGCCTCCGCTACGCCCGCAGCAGCCTCCAGGGGTCGCCCTAGCTCCGGCCCTGCTCACCGCAACCTCTACTCCTCAGCTTCCCTCTCTTCTCCAGCGCCCCAACTCCCCGGTCAGCCCCCGAGAGCCTCGCCCAGCGGCCCCCCGCCCAGGAGGCCCCAGTGAGGCAGGTAAGTGTCGGGGTGCAGGAAGGAGGGAGAGTGTAACGTGGGGCCAGTTAAGACAGATGGAGGAGGGAGGTGATGACAATGATCTTCATAGCCAGTTCTTTCGGAGAAGGCAATGACACCCCATTCCAGTACTCTTGCCTGGAAAATCCCATAGACGGAGGAGCCTGGTAGGCTGCAGTCCATGGGGACGCGAAGAGTCTGACACGGCTGAGCGACTTCACTTTCACTTTTCACTTTCATGCATTGGAGAAGGAAATGGCAGCCCACTCCAGTGTTCTTGCCTGGAGAATCCCAGAGACGGCGGAGCCTGGTGGGCTGCTGTCTATTGGGTCGCACAGTGTCGGACACGACTGAAGCGACTTAGCAGCAGCAGCAGCCCGTTCTTTCTGCCAGGCGGAGTTCCAAATGATTAACGCATATTAATCCTTGCAAAAACTTTCTACTATAATCCCCATAATATAAGGAAAATGAGGCACTCTCTGAAATGGACTTGCCAAAGGTCACAAAAATTTAGTGGAACTGGTATTCGAACGCAGGTGGTGGGTGACCCGTAGCCGACTGCGGGTTTAGTGTCGTGAGAAAGGATCTCAACACCTCACACAGGCACTAGGCAAAGAGAATTCGGGTTTCAGACTCTCCCCGGTTTCATCCACTCTCACCCGGCCACGCAGACTGATGGGGCGGTGGGCGATGGGTTGAGAAGGGGGTGACCAGCCTTAGCGTCCTCTCCCCGCTCAGCCTGAGTCGCCTCTTTCCAGAGATGGAGCGCCCACAGCAGGATCCGGAGACAAACCAGCCACGGCCTCGTATTAGGCCCGCCAGCACCTGGGACTCGATGGGACTACGTTCTCTGCGCCCCGCCCTCCTTGCTTCTCCTCCCACCCTCCCACCTGGGCCCAAAATAAACCTCTGGCCTGGACTGCGGCTTTCTGAAGTCCGCGCGTGCGCATGGCGCGGGGTTGGGGATTCCGGGCCGGAAGAGGTCCAGACTGGAGGGGTGGGGCTTTGAGGCGGGGCTCACGCGCCCTTATACACGAGTGCAAATACTGCCCACGGGCATTTTGTCCCTAACAAAAGGGAACACCCAATCCTGACAGCTTCGCCTCGTCTCCTCCTCCAAACCTGCGCCAGCTCATCGGCCTTCTCGAAACCTCTCCGCTCTCCACTCCCACCGCCCGGACCCTGCCCTTGCTAAGACCTCGAGCTCAAGTCTCTGCTTCAAGCTCCTCTCCGTCTAGCCTTAAGGTCCTTAAATCCCTCCTGCCTGACCTCACCCTCCTCAGAGTATAGACAAGGGCGGGATTTTAGCTCCATTTTACGGCTGAGGAAACTGAGGGTCGGCAAAGTCACATCACTTAAATCACCAATCTGGGCTATCTGACCCCACAGCTGAGGTTCTTGGCTACAAAGCACATAACAGGAGTTTCACAAGACTTATTCCTGGAATGGAGGGAAGGGATGAGATCTAAGGTCTCGGCTCCAGTTCACGAATGAGACAATGCGGGCGGTGGGGTCTCGTTCGCCTTAGCCTCAGTTAGATACCAGTCCCCATCGCTTCTGCTGTAGGCAGTTACCTACGGCCTGCAAACGCAGAACCACGCCCCCATCCAATTCTGCTTCCGCGCGGGGCATTTGGACCGAGAGGCCACCGTAACCCCGCCCACCAAGGAAACACTCCGGAACGACGCCGACACCCTCACCCGCCTCACCGGCATGAAGCCACCGCAGCGGCGGCGAGCGATCCCGAGGCGCTATCTGGTTGAAGTGACCGGCCCCGCGGCCTGGAGAGCCAGCGAGAAGCGGCAGCTGTTACGACTACTGCAGGCGCGACAGGGCCAACCAGAGCTGGACGCCGCCGAGCTGGCCCGAGAGTTGCCGGGCCGGAGCAAGACCGAGGTGAGAAGAGTCCCGAAATAGGAGCAAGGCTGGAGGCGGAGCTAGGATGTGTCCGGGGCTGACAGAGGGGCGGGCCTTGAGGGTGGGCTGGATGTAAGTAAGGCTTGGGGGCGGGGCCTTGGAGTGGGCCTGTTGAGGGTGAGGCGGGGACGAGGCCGAGGTTGAGGAACCGGAAGAACGGCGGAGGAGGCGGGACTAGTGCAAGGCTGGGCCTTGTGTGGCTGCGAGAAGCTGAGGGCGGGGCAGAGTGACTTGAGGGGCGGGGCAAGGAGGAGGTCGTGTCGCAGAAGTCGGAGGGGCGGAGCGAAGGCAAAATTTAGGGGCGGGGCGAGCTCTGAGTTTGATCGGAGGCCCCAGAATGGGTCTTCTCTGCTAGCTCAGATGGTGAAGAAATCTGCCTGCAATGCAGGCGGCACCGATTCGATCCCTGGGTCGGGAAGATCCCCTGGAGAAGGGAATGGCTACTCACTCTAGTGTTCTTGCCGGGAGAACTCCATGGACAAAGGAGCCTGAAGGGCTGCAGTCCATGGGGTCGCTAAGAGTCGGCAACGACTGAGCGACAACACTTTCCTTCACTTCCCAGAGTGGGTGCAGGTCGCAGCGGGACTGGACGGGAATGTGGTTGAAGTGGGAGTCAGGAAGTGAGAGTCAGGGAAATAGAGCGGAGTGGAAGAAGCGGGTAGGTAACTTGGATAGTACTTAACCACGGGTGTGGGCTGTGGCTGCGGGGAGGAGCCAGAACCGGCCAGGGCCTTATATCTTTGTCAGGTAGCTGGTCATGCCTAGGGCCTTGGCCGGAGAACCCTGGGCAGAGTCCCTATGACCCTTAACCCCTGGCCAGCGGGAGGCTAGGGAGAAGTGGCTAGCCCTGGAACAGGCAGGACTGCCTAGCCCTGGGTTCTAGAAGGTCCATTTGGCCTCTTCTTACTTCCCAGATCGAGGACTTTCTCCGGCAGCTCAAGGGCCGAGTGGCCCGGAAGGCCATTCAGAGGATACATCCAGGTGGCCCAAAGGGTCCAAGGCGCTGGGAAACACAGACCCCAGCCCCCATCGAGGTGAGATGGGGCAAGGCTCCCCAGGGCTGGCCCCTGGGGAATGAGGTGGGAGTTCAGGGGGATAATCTGGACAGGGGAGCTCCAGGGAGGAGTAGGGTATGGGGGACTCCTGAGGATTAATCCCTAAGTACCTTCTGCTTGTTCCACCCAGGTGTGGATGGATCTGGCTGAGAAGATAACAGGCCCACTGGAGGAGGCGCTTACTGCGGCTTTCTCACAGGTAGAGCCATTCCCCCCAGGCAGGATGGGGGTGTCCCGGAGGACAGGGTCATATACATGAGTCTAAGCTGGACCTGGCTCCCTTCCCTTTGCCAGCTCTGTGATTCTGGCCCGTCACTGGTCACCCTAGCCTCCGTGTCCACCCTCTCAGCCTTCCTCAGGGTGGGGGTGGGGTGGAGGGATTTGAAGGTTTTCTCCTGCAGGGCAGGGGAGTAACCTGCGGGGACACTTCCGCCTTTCCTTCCCTGATCTTTCTCTGCCTGCCAGGTGCTCGGCATCGCTGCCACGGAGCCCATCAACCTCCTGCACTCAGTGCCCTCCAAGCCCACGCAGGCAAGTGGGAAACTACTGCCCCTCAGCGCCCCTGGAGGACAGCAGGACCTGGGTCCTGAGGCTTCCAGCCCCGCCCCCAAGGCCTCCGGAGGGCATGAGGTTCCCGGCTCCACCCCCAAGACGCAAGGCCCTGTTCCTGAGGCATCCTCTGAATCCCTGACTGGCCAGTCTGCTGAGGGAGACTTTTCTGTGGACTTCGAGAAGATCTACACGTACCTGTCATCCGTCTCCCGCGGTGGCCAGGTCCCTGAGCTTTCCGCAGCTGGTGAGGAGGGAGGAGCCGGCACTCTGGGGGTGGGTTCTTTGGTGGCCAGCCCCGCCCTCCCGACTCATCCCCTTTCCATCCTTCACCAGAGTCCGCTGTGGTCCTTGACCTGCTCATGGCGCTTCCTGAGGAGTTGTCCCGTCTGCCCTGCGCCACCCTGGTTGAACACATGTCGGGTATGTACCGACATCTGATGGCCCCTCAGCGTGACTTTGCCAGTGGCAGCCTGGCTTCCAGAACTGGGGATAGCGGGGCAGGTTCCAGCGGTCAGGAGGAGACTGGCCAGGCCACCCCTCAGGCCCCCGAGAATGCTGGCTCCAGCCAGCCCATAACCTCTTGGCAAGCGGCTGGGGTGTGCCCCCTGAACCCGTTCCTGGTACCCTTGGAACTTCTGGGCCAGGTGGCAAGGAAGGGGCCTGGCAGGCAGGGGACACTGCAGACCTCGGTGAGCCCCCAGACCCTCAATCCTGCTTGATCTGGCCCTGGGTTGTCATGAGGCCCTCGCCACAGTGGAAGGTCCCTGAGGCAATGTGCAGTGGCCTTAACATGCTTGATACATGGGGGTCTCAGAGACGAAAGCCCAGTTGTACAAGGAGAGGTTCAGCCATACAACTGGCTAGGCTAACACCACCGTCAAATATTTCCCCTACTGGTTCCTCATCCCCTTCCGAAGCTCGGTATCCTGTGTCCTATAATGGTGAATAAAGTTCTTGTCAACCCCCCTGACTGACTCTTTCTCCTGTGAGTTAGAGGTGGGAGAGGGTTCAAAATGCTGGAGGGAAAATCTGAGCTGGAGAACCACAGCTTAGATCCTGGGGTCTGAGAGTGGTCTGTCAGGCAGGAGGGTGCAGTGGGCAGTGAAGTGACCCTTGGTGATTGTTTGGAGGGTCTTGCCCTGAGCCTGACTGAGGTGGGGGAGTCAGGTCCCCAGCCAGGGGAGACTGAGGGGTGGGCTGCCCATGTCAGGAAGTTGCAGGGAGGGGAGTGAGTCCCTGAGGTGGCCTTGGGGAGGGAGGGAGAGCTGGAGGGGGAGCAGAGGAGCAGAGAAGGGAGCACAGCTGGGTAGAGGGCAGAGCTGGGCTCCCGGCGGCTGTCAAAGGCCTCATGTTCCCGGGGGTGCTCCTGGGTCTCTCCCCCTGCCCGGCCCCCTCCATCAGCCTCCCTGAGGGTGCGGGGGCAGGGACAGGCTGGTTCGGGCTGGGCCGGGGCACCAGGCATCCTCCCACTGCACCGCCTTCCCCCAGATCTCACCAGTCCTCTAAGAGCTGGCGAATTTTCTGTTCACAGAGCCTGTGCATTCACGCAACCTTCCTTTTATAGCAACACTCAGTTTCTCCCCACACACATTGCACACAGCTCCCCCAGGGCGCACGACACTTCTCCCAGGCGGGCCATGGAACAGAGCCAGCCCACTCCATGACTACAGCCCCACCACACCAGACCTGAGGTTCCCGAATTTGATGGTGGGACGGAGGGATCAGGTCAGAGTGGTCTGGGGTTGCAGGTATGGTCAAAGTGCCAGGAGGTCATGTCAGGTCTCGGAGACAACCTCCAGGGCTGGCTAAGGGTGCCCCATCCCTACCAGGCTAAGTCCATCAATGGCCCCCAGAGTTGCCCCAAGTTAAGGGAAGGAAGGGTGGTCTTGGCTCTTTCTGGAATGGGGGGAATTAGAGATGGTTAGCCTCAGTTCCCCAGAGCATGCATCTGGGTGTTTCTCAGCCCTGGGAAGCTCTTAAGAGTGTGCAAAAGTCAGCCATGGGTTCAGATTCTAGCTCTGGCAAGTCACTGAACCTGTCTGGACCCGAGTCCCCAGGCCTGTAGAATGACGATGCTAACAGGATCCTGAAAATACAAGAGGCCAAGTGCAGAGTCGCTACCTCAGCACACTGCTTGGCATGCAGTAAGCGCTCAATAATAGCTTTTATTAACAGCATGGGCTCAGAGGCAGGGAGGAGTGAGAGGCCAGGGGAGGGTCTGGGGAGGGGTGTGTGGCAGAGGGATCGGGGGAGGTAGCAGGGGAGCCAAAGAAAAGTGGAGGTGGTAACAGAGGGAGGGACGCGCTGGCCTGAACTGGGGTCTGGGCTGGGGGCAGGAGGGAACATGTCTGCCCTCTCCTCGCGTGGAAGGAGCCACGCATCCTGGACACAGCAGCCATTGTCGCTTTTCAGGCTCTGTCTCCGGGGCAGGCCGCGCAGGGCATATCGGTATGCAGTGTCCCACCCCGTGAGCCCAGGAGAGCCGGCCCTGCAAGGCCGAAACCCGAGGGGGGGCTCAGCGCTTACGGGCGGGGTTGCGCGGGGTGGGGAGTGAGGATGGTCACAGAACAAGGAGGAAGGGAAAGGATATGGGGGTCTCCGAATCCAGGAGTGGACAGGACACTCATGCTGCTGGGCGGCAGGACAACAGCAGAGAAATACCTACATACTGGGGGTGGAGGGGCGGGACAGGGCAGGATAAAGGCACGAAGTGGGGCTCCGGCCTGGCCAGGGGGGAAGATGGGAGGGGTCTGAGGGGGGAGGGCTTGGACTTCTCCTCATGCCCTCCCCACTCGGGCTGCGGGCTCGCGGGGCAGGATCCCGAGCGCGGTCCAGGCCTGGCGGCGGCCCTGGAAAAAAGACCCCGCCGAGGGCCGGCCAGGGGCGCCGCACCGCTCAGACCAGCGCGTAGTCGAACTGCCCGCGCTCGAGCGCCTCCTTGTGGTCGGTCCAGGACGAGGCGGGCATGCGGCTGTAGGGGTCGAGCAGGATACGCACGCAGCGCACCATCAGCAGCACCAGCACCACGAGCAGGCACAGCACGAAGGCGAACACGGTGCGCTGCTCCGCGTCCAGGCCCGCACCCACCGGGGGCCCCGTAGACGGCGGCAGCGGCTCGGGGGACAGCGTCCACGTCGCGCTCATGGCTCACATCGCCGCGCGCCCTGGGGAGGAGGGGCCCGCCGGGATGCGGGGATGAAGCTGCGACCTCCTTCTCCCCCGCGTCGCCCCCTTCCGCCGCCGCCCCCCCACTCCCTGCCGAGTCCCAGCCCCCGCCTGCGCCTCAGTCCCGGGGCTACGCCCATGCCCGGCCCGCGGGCACCCAACTCCGGGCGTGCTCGCAGGTGGGGACGCTATGAACAAGGAGAGGAAACCCCGACCCGGTCGGTCCGCGCACAACAGGTGCGAACGCACGGCCCGCGGAGGCGGCGGGGGCTCGACCCCGCTCCCCCGCCCCACTCCCTTTGTTCTTGCGTCCCGGGGACCCCCTCCCCCACCACCCCCGTCCCGCCGCGACCCTCACCCTGGCCTGGACCGGGACCGGGACCCAGCGCCCGGCAGCCGCGCTGTCTTCCGGGACCCGCACCCTGTCCGCTCTCGGCCTCTCCGCGGCGGCCGCGGCGGCGGCCCCGGCTCTGCCCACCCCACCCGCCCCTGGAGCCGCGGAGACCGAGGCAGGCGAGCCGCGCGCGAGCCGGGCCGCCGCGGCTGTTCCCATGGCGACGGGGGGGCGGGGCCGCCGCGGGGGGCGGAGGCTGCGCAGGGAGCGGCGCTCGCGCCCGCGACCCCGCCCCGCCCACCGGGAAAACCGGGCCCCGCCCTGAGCCGCTGCAGAGACCACCGGCCCCGAAGAACCGTGAGCACCAAGGACTTCACCCTCCCACCCCCACCAGCACTCCTAAACCTCACAGCCAGACCTCAGCTCCCACACCCCCACTCTCCTCTGCAACTGACCCCTCAGTTTCCCTGTTTGAAGGGTCCCAGTGCCCCAAAAACTCATTCGGGCACTAAAGGTCCTCTGGCCCCAGGGACCCCAACCTTCAACATTCAAGAGACCCCAGCCAGGTCACCGAAAACCTCCATAGCTTTTCTTGTCATTGTCCCCCATCACCCCCACACATACCCAAGGTGGGCAAAGCCTCCCCCTCTTCTGTTGCAGCTTCTTTAGTGACCACGACCGCCTCCCCATCACCACTGGGCTGGCCCACCCCCCACCTCCTCCTCAGTCCTAGCTCCCCCACCCCAGTGACAGACACCCTGGACAACCCAAGTTGTTCTCTTGCACTTTGGTGATTTATTATTTCCAAATCTCTGCTTATATACAGGATAACAAGGGCACTGTTTTTTTAAAAAAAAAAAAAAAAAAGGAGCTAAAATGGCCTGGCTGATGTGGCCGGTGGGCCCAGGCCCCACTGCTCAGTCCTGGGAGTGCCTGGTCTGAGGTCCGCAGGCCAGCAGCCCGCCAGGGGGCCAGGGGCCAATGCAGCCCCCACCCTCCTCTCCCCATTCGGCCGGTGTTGCAGCTGGCCTGGCAGAGCAGGCGCAGAGTTGACAGTCCTGTCCCCAGAGGTCTGGCTGCTGTAGGTGGATGCCAGTTCCCTGTGTGTCCACAGTGAGGGTCAGCCCTGGAGGGCCCGGGCATAGCTGCCATGCTCAGAGGACCTGCTCTGTGCTGGAGGCCGAAATGTCCAGGAGTCTCCAGGCCGCGTAGGGGTTCAGCTCATCCTGGTCTCGGCAGAGCGCCCACACATACAGCATTCGCAGTACCTTGTCCTGCGGAACCCGAGAAGGGTGAGGGCTGGAGGCGGGGAACACCCAGTAACCACACCAGAAGGAGGGCAGGGTGACTCTGCAGTCAGATCAGGGCTGGGAGGGAGCAGGGAGCAGGTCTGGGGTGTTGGCCTGGGCCTGGGATTCAGAGCAGAGGCTGGGACTCAGGACTTGGTCAAACCAGACAGATCAGCAGCCCTCCAACCTCCACCAGGCCCAGCTCAAGGTGCTGTCCTGGTGCCCTGCAGTGCAGGGAACTCAGTGCATGCCCTGCCCCTCCCTTCCTGCCCACTCACCGGGTCGCCCTCGACCACCTCCCCTTTGGGGTTCTTGATCACCATCACCATCTGGGCCTGGAAGGTGATGATCAGCACGGGCCCCTGCTCCATCATCTTGCCCATGGCCAGCTGCAGGGGGTGGGGACAAGGTGGATGGGCCTCAGAGAGTGGTCCTTGGTGCCTTCCTTGCAGCCCCCATCCAGGGGCAGACCCAAGCTTCAGAACCCTAGGCCTACCGCCTCCCACTGGTCTGCTTCCAGTGGGCACTTCCCAACTATGAGGGGAATCTGAATCGCTGAGGACCCAGACAGGCTCCCTGGACTGAGGCTTTGTGGACACACAGAGGCCTCTCAGAGCCACCTGTCTTTCATACAGATGTGGGCTTCCCACACAGTCGTGGCAGAAAGACCAGTGGGGGCCTGAGTGGTCCCAACAGAGCCCCCATCTTTCTCAGTGAAGGTGCAGGGAGAGCCCTGGCCTCAGGAGCCCCTGGGTCTGAGCAGCAGCACCCCTTGGCCATCACTTGCTGGAGAATTCCCAACCCCAGGACTATGGAAACCCGTCAGTGAAAGCGACCCTACTCCTCTAGGGACAAGGAGCTCACCCCGCCGAGCTGAGCACAATTCAGAGAAGCACCCCTGCCCCTGCCCCCAACCCTGGAAGAGGCACTCACATCGATGTTGTCAATGTCCAGGACGCGGGAGTGGAACTGGAGGCCCAGAGCCTTGGCCTGCTGGATCGGGTGGGCCAGCTGGCTATAGGTCTGCAACAAGAAGCCGAACATGCCCATGGGACCGGCCACTCTTGAGCAAGCCACGCCAAGGAACCTGGGAGCTGAGGGCACCACACACCCCAGGCCAGTAGTGGGCTCACAGGCGGGGTTTCAGGCTTTCAGCTCGTGTGCCTCCCAGAAAGGGCTCCCGCGCCAGGAGTGACAGATGCCAGGAGCAGGCAGGCTGGTGCCACCCTCTTGCTGGCGCAAGTCACACACTTCCCTCTCATTACCAAGACAGCACCATATTACCACTATTGAAAGCGGTATTAATCAGTGAGGTCGGGAGCGCTCCTGGAACGCAAACAGGAACATGCTCCCGGAGAGGTAAGTTGAGGCCTCTCTGGCTGATGCAGAACATTCTCCTGTGGATCCTGGCCTGGAACCAAACGCTTTTTTCTAGGATTCATCCTGCCCCACAGCTGCGCTGGGGTGAGCTGCCTGGGTCTGCCTGCTTCTCCCTGACCAGCGCCTGTGGGTGGCTCTCGGCCGCAGGCAGCCTGTTCCTCCTATGGGGGCAAAGACACATAGCCCTCTCGTGCCTGCTCCCAGGCCCGGGATATGGCAATCTCACATCTCAATGGAAGACATTCCAACAGCACCCACTTTTTATGCAACTAATGGACACACCAAATGAAAAAATAAGAAAAGGTGCCAATCTGAGTTCTGGTGTGCTTTCTTAAAGATGATATTCTCAGAACGCCCCGGTGTGAGTGGCTTCAACTTCAGCTCTGTTTCTAGGAGCACCAGCAGCACCCCGCGGGTAGAGATAACCAGTCACATCTTAACAGTACCAAAGTGAAAAAAAAAAACCAACCCACTCATAAACGCCTGCTGGATTAGTCACCGTGCAGGGGAGTATTTAAAAAGAAAACCTGACATCTTCTCCTCTGCTTTTTCCAACTTGTTTGTAAGCTGGGTACAGAAGAGAATCAGCCAAAAGAGATTCTGGATTATTTAGTATCAAGAAGCTGGGGGTGAAAAAAACGAACTCCCAGAAGACACAGGTCAGGGAGCCAGAAGGATGGGGCAAGGTGGCCCCGTGGGGACAAGAAGGCTGCCAGAAAGGGACAGGGCAGACGGGGTGCTCCTGAGGCCGCCTGACCCGCCATCATGCAGCCCAGCCCTACCTGTGGCCTGGGACCTGGAGCTCCAGGAACAGCTAGGCCTCCTTAAGACTCGCAGCTCTTACCCAGGCAGAAATATGTCAATGTCTGCTTGGATCTATGTTTGAGGATCTCTCGATAAGAAAAACAGCTAATGAATCCATCCAATGCCACCTGTGTGGGATCTCCGCTTTGGTGTCCCTGAAGCACCCTCTTGATCCCCAAGGGATGAGCCCAGTGATGTAACCCTGGCCTCGGGAGGGGGGCCATGGGGCTCACACCCCACTTCCTGGCCAGCACCTGTGACCCCCACGCACAGAGTGAACATTTGATGCACCCCAGGGTTCTCCAGTGTCGCTTTCCACCCACTTCCCTGACCCCTGGATCCCCAGCCTGCAGCCACCCCCACCCCCGACACCCCCATCCCCATCGAGCTCTTCCTGGATGGAGCCACCCAAGCAGATCTCCTTCAAATTGTTAATTCTTCTTAGGCCTAAACAGGAAAAAAAAAAAAAAGCCAGCGAGCACTCACAGCTTCATAGCACCAGTCTTTGAGAATGTCGAGTTCCCCAGAAATCATGGCCTAAAAACGGAAAGACAAAAAATCAAGTATGAGAATGAAAGTGGGCTTTGGAGGCAGGGAGATACTGCTGGAGAATGTTCTCCAAGGAGACCCTTTCCTCGGCAGCCTCCCAACCCCATCCTGGGGTCCAAGTTTGGGGTAGGGAGACCGGGCCAGGCTGGGGCAGTGGGAGAGGAACTCCCGCAGCTAACAGTGGGGCAGCCCAGAGTGGGTCCTCAGGGTCTGCAGGAAGGAAAGGGAAGGTGGAGGTCTGGTCCCAGCTGGGAAACTGAGCCAAGGTGGCCAGGCAGGGGCAGCCTGCCTGCCCCGGGGACAATGCCCTGGATGGGGCAGAGGGAGGGGGCAGAGAGGGCAGAGGGGAGTGTGGGTCAGGGCTCCCCAGGTGCAAGGAGAAGCTGCCACAGGAACTGGATGTGGTGAGAGTCCTGGGGGGTGGGAAGCACTAGGGGGGAACCACAGGGAGTGGTGGGGGTGGGGGCTGAGATGACCTCACCCAGAGGATCCTGCCTGGGCCTGGGCTGCTGCTTTTGGGAGTTGCTACCTTTTCACCTCCTGCCAGCCCTGCCCCGAGTATCCTGAGGAAGCTGGGAATGTGGAGGATGGAGAAGGGCCCCAGGAGGAGGGATCAGATGTTCACAGAGGACCGGGGGACTGGGGGGGTGCTCCCTGAAGCCCCACTATGCCACGCCACAGGCTTCTGTATGGGCTGGGCTGCAGGACTCCCAGCCTCCAGCCAGTGCTGGTGGCCATGGAGGGGCAGGGAAAAGGCAGAACACCCCGCCGGCGCACACCCACCTCCAGGACGTTGGGGATGATGTCATTCTCGCACTGCTGCAGGAAGCGGTCCTTGTCAAAGGCGGGGTCCACACGCAGGATCTCTGTGAGCACCTCTGACATCTCGGTCTTCGAGAACAGGCCCCCTGGGATGGCCGAGCCGGCAGGGCAGTGAGGGCCTGGGACTCCGCCCCTTGCCGGCTCAGGGTTAGGGGATGGTCTTGGGGCGGCCCACTCACCCAGCAAGTCCGTGACCTTGTCTGTCAGCACACGGGACGCCCGGATGAAGGCGTTGTCGCTCTCATCATACTTCATCTTCATCTCGAAGAACCCTGTGGCAGGTGGCGGGTAGGGTCAGGGCTCAGGGGTCCCTTCCAGAAAGACACCCCCAATCCATCACAGCCCCCCCGCCCCGAGCAGACTGGGTAACTGAGGGGCCTCTCGGAGGCTGCTTCTTCCTCAAGAGACCAGGGCCTGTGGGCCAACCTCGGGGTGGGGGAGTGGAGACCCTGCCACCATGAGCTTGGGGGGCTGTGTGAACTGCCACATCTACTGGCAGCTGCTTTCACTGCAAAGGAAGCACTGGCTTCTGGGAATCCCTATGGGATGAGGGACAGGGCTCCCTGTCAGCACAAGGGAAGCCAGGTGCCCCAGACTGGGCAGAGCACGCTGGGCCTTGAACTACAAGCTGGTTCCTGGCTTGTGAGGCGGGGTGTGTAGGGGCCAAATCCACAGCTGCACCATCGGGGTGGGGATGGGGGCGGGGGGCACTCACACCTGCCTGCCTCACAACCACACTGGCTCTAGTCAAGATGGTGACCCAGCCCCGATGGCAGAGCCCCTGCCGCCCGAGACGTCCTGGGTGCTTCCCCTCGGGCCTCCTGAGGCCCGCACTCCGCTGCTCACACGCTGGGTGACCCTGCCGCAGTGACTGGCCCGCTCGGACCCCGGTCCCCTCCCCTGTCTGGGGCCCGCCCCCCGGGAGCGCTCAGCGAGTGTCTCTCACTGCCCTGCCACTGAGCCGTTCTGAGATGGGGACACTCACGATTGAACACCACATTGTTGTCCCTGAAGTCCTTCCACTGCTGGTACCACTTGGAATCCTTGTGCAGCACGACCCCCAGCGCCTCTCTGGGGAAGACCAGGGAAGCCAGTGAGCGCAGCGCGGGGGCCGCTCCCACGGGGAGAGGGACCAGTCAGACAGTGTGATGACCCCGGCCTCACTTCCCAGCCCCCTGCCTTCTCGTTTCCCCTGCCCATCCCTCCCCACCTCCATTCTCTCAGGGAGCCAGGAAACCTTGGGCAGAGAGAAACCCCACAGACAGACTCGGGTCAGAACCCCGTGTGGTCCTGAGACAGACAACACTGCAGCTGGCTGAAAAGGGAGGTGGAGACAGGGCGGGAAGGCCCCGACCGGCCTGGGACCTACTCATTGGCCTCAAACACTTTCTCTTCCTTGAATTTCTCTCCGGCGAACTCCTTCCTTTTCCGGAGCCGCTCAGGCCGCCGATAGGGCCCGGTCTGTCCTAGGACGCTCTCATCGATCTCCTTCTTGACAGACTCCACGCCCTGCAGGGCACAGCCGGGCGTGTAGGAGTTGGGTGACCCCCAGACACCCCCAACCAGAAGCTGTATACCCACCCTGGCTCCACGTCTCCAGGTCACCTGCCTTGCAGGTGCAGGCCAAGGATTTGTCGGAGCCTCAGGGGGAGGCAGATGCTCGCTGCCATGAGGAGACCCTGGCTATCTGACTTCTGGTCCTGACTCCCCCCCACCCCCACCAACCCCTGCTCTAAGAGCATCCCCCAGACAACCCTCACATTCTGAGGTCTATTCCCCTGTCTCCCTGGAAACTTCCCTTCAGGTAGGGAGAAACCAGCAACTGGAGGGGCATCCTGAACAGCCCCTGCCCCATGACCCCCATCCAGGCTGACCCAGTCTGTGGATCTCGACTTCCCAAGTCTCCGGAACCCATTTCCCTCCCCACCCCACCACCCCAGACACTCTCCGGCCGCCTCTGAGCCGCTGCCCGAGTCCTCACTGGTGGCTTGTGCTTTCAGGATAAAACCTGAACTCTTCCGTACGGCCCCCAGGCCCCTGCAGTGGCTCTGGTCACACCCAGTTGTCCCTGGTGCCCGCAGCTGGCAACACCTGCTCCTCTTGCCTGGAGCCGCCCTCGGACACTCCTGTCATGTTACTCAGAACTGCCTGCCCCTTCCCTGTCCCCACGCCTGTCCTGCGATCCTTTGAGAGCAGCAGCTTGGACCTTCTCTCCAGTGGCCCTGCGGCCAGCAGAGGGCCCCGTGTGCGGTAAGGTCTGCATAGAATGAATTCAGGACCTCAAGTGACTGGGAGAGACAGTCTCGGGGTTCTGGGCCAGACCTAAGGGTGTCAGCCACTGACTGCGGGCTGGAGGCTCTTAGTCTGTTAACCAGTAGCTCCCTAGGGCTGTGATTTGCCCAAGACCACCCAGCTGGGAGGGGCTGAGCCCCGAGATGGGAACTCGGCTCCCGGGGGTTGGGAGCAGGCCAGAGCCTAGAGTGCCCGCAGGCAGGAGCCCAGCCCAGCTCACCTGGGAGAGGGCTTTGAAGGCAGCGGTCCGGCCAAGCTTCTCCCCGCCTTTGGACACTGACTCGGCAGACTGCTTGGCGGTCTTGGCTGCTTCTTCCACACCTTCCTTGATTTTCCGGCCAAGGTCACTTTTACTGACTTCGTCAAGACTCTACTGAGACGGAGAAGGGGGAGGTGTCAGCGCGGCACAGGCTAGGGGCTGGCAGGAGTTCCCCCGAGCTAAGGGCCAACCAGGCTGAGGAAGGGCGGGAACAGACAACCTGAGGTTGTCTGGCTGGTGGAGCTGTGACTGGGGTATGTGCATGCTTGAGAAGGGGGCCTAGGACTCCTGGGGATCTGGGCCTGGGGCTGTGGGCACGAAGCAGACAGGAGCCCCAGCCCTCCCAGGATACACAGTTGTGGCAGCCATGGGTGGCAGGGAGGCAAGAAGAAGGTGAGGAGGTGTGCATGGAGCTGGGCTGGCCTAAAAGCCCTGCCCCTCTCTCCTGGAGATGCAGGAGACTCGGGTTTGATCCCTGGGCTGGAAAGATCCTCTGGAAAAGGGCATGGCGACCCACTCCAGTATTCTTGCCTGGAGAATCCCATGGACAGAGGAGCCTGGTGGGCTACAGTCCATGGGTCACAAGACTGAAGCAACTTAGCAGGCAGGTCCCTCTCTCCAGTCCAGAGCAGAAAAAACAAACAGAAGCAACAAAGAAGAAAGCCCTCCAGGAAAGTCACTCCCACCTCCACCCTCACCTTGGGGCAAAGTGCTCCCCTCCTATCCTAAGGAGGGAAGAAAAACATCCTCATTTCACGAACAGGAGGTTCGATTGTAGCATAGAGGCTTCTAACTTAAGCAGGCCAGTGAACTGTAGGCCAGTGGGCTGGTCTGACCTCGCCCTCCTTCCTGAGGGCATCGTGGACTTTATCTCCGGAAAGCCTCTGGAGCGGACAGGCTGATCACCACCCCAGCCTACACAGTGCTGGCTGCCAGCTCCTCCTGCGGCTCCAAGCACTGCCCCCCCCACTCCTCTGCAAGAGGTGAGAACAGACAGGCCCTGCAGCCTCGGCTAAGAGGCCCTGGGAGCCCTGAGGCCATTACCTCCTTGACGGTGCCCGTGATCTCCCCCAGCTTCTTCCTGATCACCTCACTTGTCCGCAGGGTTTCCGATTCAATGGTTCTCTAGGGGAAGGACATTGTGTCTTTGTGTTGTGATGCACAGTCCAAAGCAGCATTTTCTGAGCAGTCCCTTCCTCCTCAGACACCCCTCCCCCTCAGCCTGCCCAATGGGTCCCTCCCTTCCCCCCAGGGTCCCTGGCTGCCCCCCAGCCTGGCGTGAAGCCTGGACAGGGACCCTCCTGAGCACAAAGCCCGAGGCCCCAAATCTCTCTCTGGCGGAAGTGGACGAACTCGCCTATCTGCTCATCAGTGATATGTTGAGGGGGGTGGTGGTGGTGGGGGCAGGGTAGGGGGTGCTGTTCCCATTCTGCCCCCACCCAGGCACCCTGCCCCAACCTCAGCCTCTTCTGCCCCCAGGCGGCCCCTCAGCCCACTCCTCTTCCTTAATGACAAGGAAGGGTGCTCCCCCATAGGGTGGAATCCCCCACAGACAGTTTGGCGGAGACTTGGAGGGAACAGGCCTCACTGCGCCCGCGGCCCAGGATGGGGGGTCAACACAGCAAAACGCTGAGGGACCTGGGGCATCCGGGGCAAGCGCCCACACCCCAGGCTCAGCCGCCCACAGGGGAGATGGTGGGGCTCTGCATCGGCCTTGCAGAGCCCTCGCAGGCAGACAGATAAAGGGCCACAGGCCCATTCACAGGCAGCTGAAAATTGTCTGGGTGTTTCCCTATGCTCTAATGGAAAACCCCAATTTTTTTGGCCAAGCGACCATGTAACAATTACACTAGCCCTGGAACCCACTTTCTACCCATTTCATTCAGAGGCCTTCTGGAGTATGCATCTCAAACCTAGTGCCTGAGAGGCCTATGGAGATGCAGATTCTTCTTTTTTTTCATTTATTTTTATTAGTTGGAGGCTAATTACTTTACAATATTGTAGTGATTTTTGCCATACATTGACATGAATCAGCCATGGACTTACATGTGTTCCCCATTCCGATCTCCCCTCCCACATCCCTCCCCATTTTTTTTCCTTTTTAAAATTATTTATTTTTAATTGGAGATAACTGCTTTACAATGTTGTGTTGGTTTCTCCTGTAGAGCAGTGCGAGTCAGCCATAAGTATACACGTGTCCCCCTCTCTTGAGCCTCCCCCACAATGCAGACTCTGATGCAGAAGGTCCAGAAAGCCCCCCGTGTGCTGGTCTGTGTGTAGAGAATGCCGCAGGCTCACCGCAGACCTGGAAGGCTGAGTGGCTTCCCCAGCCCCCTTACTCCCCATCATCAGGGATCCTGACAGCCAGGGCACTGCGCTACGGGAATTCCTGGCTCCAGGGAGCAAGTGAGAGGTGGTGAAGTGAGAGAGGTTAATAGTGATTAACATACTGGGTTGGCCAATAAGTCTGTTCAGAGACGAGTCACGAAGGGGACTCACGTATTTCCTCCTGGCTTCCTGGAGCGCATCTGACTCTTCCAGCTTCTTGGCCTCGTCTCGGAACTTTTTTATACTTTCTTTCATTTCTTTGTTTTTGGCTAATTCCTGTTTGATGTTATCGAGCAAGCCGGAGAGAAAGCCTTTTCTGCTTCCAGAAGAATAGGATTTGGACTAGAAAGCATATAGAAAGAGACACAGGATTTTTTTTTAAATTTTCTATTTTCTGTTGATACTGGTTTAACAATGAAGAGCTCTCTCTTTGCAGAAGAGTAGAAGAGGCACACTAAAAAACTATTAGGTGATAAACTGTGGGGCACCCGGACAACAAGATATTATTCAGCAATAAAAAGAAATGAGACCAGGGACTTCCCTGGTGGCACAGCAGGTAAGAATCTGCCTGCCAATGCAGGGGACACGGGTTTGATCCCTGGTCCAGGAAGATCCCACATTAGGCCCTGCTCCATGCACTGCCCTGCCCAAGACACGGGCTTTGAGGTCAGACACAGCTGGGTTTAGATCCCGGCTTCTCCTCCTTCACAGGCTCAGGAAAGAGAAAGCTTCAAAAATCATTGTGAGTGAGTGACTCGGCTCAGGGGGACATGGCCTCGTGTGCTTGGCTGCTCCCACTTCTGAGGGTGCACAGGGTCCACCACCAGGCCTGGGGACTCACCCTACCAGTTTCGGGGGCAACAGCCTGCCTGGCTGCTATTGAGCCCCAGCAAAAGAGGTGGAAAGTCTGGGTGCTGCCCCAGAGGTGGGGTGTCCAGGAATGCTGCTGGCAGGCAGCTGTCTGGTCCAGATGGGTCCTGGCCAGCCCTTCTCCAGGGGAAATCCAGGTTCCAAGAGTGTCGACTGCATCAGCTCACAGCAGCTGCACCACTCACCCCAGGGCTGTGGACTGGGTGGTAGTGGTGGGGGGCGGGGCAGATCAGAGACGTGGACAACTAATGGGAAAGACACGTCCCACACCTACAACAGCCCCAGGACACAGTTGGGGAGACAGGCTGGCACAGGTAACTAGAGGGCTGTGCTGAGACTCAAAAGGGAAGGGAGGGTGGGCTGCTCAGGCATGTGGAAGTGGAGTCAGTGTGAGGTTTGGGGCTTTCCTCCCTGCCCGTGGTGGTGAAACACCAGCAGAAGCATGGTTGAGGAGTGATGGGGAGGGCAAAAGCTCTAGAAAATGCTGTTTCTGACAAACAGCATCAAGACTAAGAGAGATATCAGGGCTTCCCTGGTGGTCCAGTGGTTTAGAATCCACCTGCCAACGCAGGGAACATGGATTCAATCCCTGATCCAGGAAGATCCCACTTGTTGCAGGGCAACTAAGCCCTACGCCACAATTACCGAAGCCTCCGAGCCCTAGAGCCTATGCTCTGCAACGAGAAAAGCGTACACAATGAGAAGCCCATGCATGGCAACTGGAGAGTAGCCCCCACTCGCTGCAACTAGAGAAAGCCCCGAGCATAGCAACCAAGACCCAGGATAGCTATAGATAAATAAAATTATGCAAATTTTATATATAAATTTTATAAAAATATAAAAACTAACATTACATAAATATAAAATTATAAAAAAACAAAATTATAGAAGTTTTGTATAAAATATAAATGTAAAAGTTTTATAAATACATACAATTAAAAAAAAATAAAGGTAAGGATGGTCTAGCCTGGGGAAACCCAGCTCCAGGAGATGTGTGACTGTGCAAACGCAAATGCCCATGGAGCCGTCTCCCAGAAGCAAGGCCCAGCTTTGCTTGAAGGACCCAGACGTGCGACCCAATGAGGGGTGCATTTCAGCTCTGCTACAGGAATCCCACTCCACTCTGGGAGGTAGAAGCCCCACCTCCAAGTGTGCCCAGCACTTCCAGATACCAAGAGCACTAGGCCTACTGGGCTCTGTGACTCCAGAAGGCCTGCCCATCAGACACCCTAGCAGTGTGGGCAGCATCCTGCAGGCCTCTTCTGTCACCTATGCCTCACTCTCACACCTCCCCTTCCAGCCAGCTCGCTCACGTCTTGAGTCACTCACCAGGGTCAGCTCTCCACTAGGCCGGGGCAGCTGGTAGGTACCATGGGGCAGTGGCACTAGATTGTGGCTGGACAGGAGATGGACACCACTGCCAACACATCTCTAATTGAGGGAGAAGAGATAAAGACCCATTTAGACCAGAGGGTAATGAGGAAGGAAGGAAACAGGCCACCTAAAAGAGCAGGGATTGCCTGAGACTCATCTGATGATTTTTATCACATGCCACCTGCATGCTTGATGCTCGACCATCTTCTCAAATTCTGAGAAGCCAGTGGAATCTGGTAGAAAGAGAAAACCTTGGAACTGTACCACAGGGCCCACATGTACCCTCCTGACTCTCAACCTAGGGGAAACCAGACGGGTCCTAGGAAATGCCAACCTATGTTGGAAGAAGGCTAAAGGCTAAATGTGCCAGTCTAATTTAAGGCCTTAGTCTGAAAATGGGCATGCTGAGCCTTGATGCTGGTAGCAACCAATCTTCTCTCACCAGCCTTCTCTACTTCTGCTGGCCTTGGAGGACCAGAGGCCTGGGCTTTCAGAGGTAAACATTGATAACTTACTGTCCCAGGCACGACCCTGCAATAAACCTACCATGTCCTGATCCAGGGTTGGGATGTGAACAGAGCAACTTAGGGGAGTCACCTGGGCAGAGAGATGCTGCTAACCTCATGTGAAAGGCATTTCTTCTCTGACCAAATGATGAACTTAAGTTCCAGGAAGGAAGTTCCATGCAGGTCCTGTTCAATGCTGCATCCTAGCACCCAGCATGGAGCCAGTTAGACGTATGTCAATGACCTGACGAAATCACATTTCCATGTCTACAATCCCTGGGCCTTTCCTCATCCTGTTCCATGCTTCCTGTCTCCAGGAACTCTAAGCAACATACAGACTGACACAGATGCTATGATCACCTCTAGCTACCCAAGAGTAACTCTAGTGAGTTATTGAAACTTTTGTTTTAATTGCTTTGTTGTTTTCTTCTTCTAAACGCCTACAACCATTGATCCTGGAGCCACTGATGTCAGCTGCAGTCTGAAGTTGAAGTGGATCGCTGTCTAATTGGGGAGGAAAACCCCACAGGAGGAGGGAACCTGAAGGTGGCTCCTCTTTTGTCTTGTGCCCAAATCCAAACACCTGTACATGCAGCTTTCAAACCCTGACTCAAAAGACAACCAGTCCAGAAGAAAAGCTCTGCCCTGAATCAGAAACACCTTGTTTCTCCTGACACTCAGATTCCTGTGAGATGCTTTCCTTCCTGACCTGAGCTTTGGGCTAGGTCAGCGACCCTGCTAGTTCTGAGACTGTGGGCAGCTTGCTTAACTCCTCTGCGCTCCCAGTTTCCCAACCTGTGAGATAGCATCAAATAGTAGCAACGCGAGTACTATTTTCCCAATGCAATTTATACGCCTTGACCCCCAAGGCATCTGTGAGCCCAGATTCTCAGCCAGGGCGACAACTACCTCCCGTACTTTCAGAGGATTAGGAGGAGGGACGGAAAGTGCCCCCGGGGAGCGGAACAAGCATATAAAGCTGAGCCGTGACTGTCACGGTCTTCTGGCTTTTCCTTGCCACTGTTTCTCCACGGAGCGCCACGGTCACCATTCACTCATCGGTACACGTGGGGTCAGCCAGAAATGAGGGGCGATCCTCTCCCTGCCCGGCTCCATGCATTACTGCCCCCGGTCGGACAGTCTCGGCTCCCCCGCCCTCTGGCCTAGCTCCAGCACGTTACCGGGCCCCCGCTCCGGCCTCGGCTGACCCAGTGACCAAACTCTGAGTCTCTCGCAGAGCCCAGGGAAGGGGCAAAGAGGTCAAAGCCCTCGGGACGCGAGATCGTGGAGGTCGCGGGTCCGGAGCTCCCTAGTCCCGCCCTCCTGGCCCCGCATATCTGCTCACCCGCGGGCAGCGGCACCAGCCTGCCCGCAGCGCCGCCGCCGCCATGCTGGAAGATCCCGTGTGACCTTCTCGGGGCGCGACTCGATACCGTCATCCGCCGCGTCTGCCTGGTAGGGTCTGGGCCTGGGAAAAGCAAGTCCTGGGGGCGGGGTTTGTGAAAGGAAGGGCGTATCATTGGACAGGACTCCCAAGGAAGGAGGGGCCGTGGAGGGAGGACCACAATAGGGGCGTGGCCTTACAGAGGGCGGGAGAATCCTAGAGAGCTAGGTCTCTGATAGGGCAGAGTTTCGGAAGAGCGGGGCCTGTGACTGGATGTGACCTGGGGGGGCGTGTTCTCCTGTGTGGCAGAGACCTGGGGTTGGATAAGAAAGCGAAGAGGCCGAGCGTGAAGATGTGGATTCTGTCGCGAGTGGAGATTTTCCTACAGACAACCCAGGGTTCGCGTGGCCGGAAAAACCGGAACAGAAGGACCCACCATAAGAACCGATTCAGTTGGGTTCTGACTGATTGACCGATGGGCCCGCCCTTTGTTGCTGACTGACTCAGTGACTGACATTGACTAACAGACGAGCAAGTGAGTTGCTTCACGAGCAAGAGAGAGTGAACCCACATTTGTACAGCACTTTCGGAAGGCACCTGTTGCTTTTGGTCCAGAAAAGGAACGGGAAGCTGAGACCTGGCTGGGTGTGAGCCACTCTTCCCTCCATTCATTTAGTGTGAATTGATACACCTGGCCCGGTGTCACGTCAGCGCTGTCACGTCAGCGCCCAGATGCTATTTACCATTTCGAGAATCCACCACCAAGTGGCGGTACCTGGACATGGTCATGCAGCTAGGAAGAGGTGGTGTGTTGGTAGCGTTGTTGTTCAGTATCTCAGTAGTGTCCGTCCGACTCTTCCTGACCCCATGAACTGCAGCATGCCAGGCTTCCCTGTCCTTCACTATCTCCCAGAGTTAGCTCCAACTCCTGTCCATTGTGTTGATGATGCCATCCAACCATCTCATCCTCTGTCGGCCCCCTTCTCCTCTTGCACTCAATCTTTCCCACCATGAGGGTCTTTTCCAGTGAGTCAGATCTTAGCGTCAAGTGGTCAAAATATTGGAGCTTCAGCATCAGTCCTTCCAATGAATAGTCAGGGTTGATTTCCTTTAGGACTGACTGGTTTGATCTCCATGCTATCCAAGGGACTCTCAAGAGTTCTCCCGCAACGCAATTCAAAACCATCAATTCTTTGGCGCACAACCTTCTTTATGGTCTAACTCTCACATCTGTACATGACTATTGGAAAAACCACAGTTTTGACTATACGGTCCTTTGTGGGGGAAATGTCTGCTTTTTAAGATGCTGTCTAGGCTTCCCTGGTAGCTCAGTTGGTAAAGAATCCACCTGCAATGCAGGAGACCTTGGTTCGATCCCTGGCTTGGGAAGATCCCCTGGAAGAGGGCATGGCAACCCAGTCCAGTACTGTTGCCTGGAGAATCCCCATGGACAGAGGAGCCTGGCGGGCTACAGTGCATGGGGTCTCAAATAGTTGGACACAACTGAGTGACTAGGCACAGCACAGATCTGTCATGGCTTTTTTCCCAAGGAGCAATCATCTTTTAATTTCATGGCTGCAGTCACCATCCACAGTGATTTTGGAGACCTAGAAAAGATCTGTCACTGTTTCTACTTTTTCCCCATCTATTTGCCTTGAATTGATGGGACTGGATGCCATGATCTTAGTTTTTTGAATGTTGAATTTTAAGCCAGGTTTTTCACTCTCTTCCTTCACCTTCATCAAGAGGCTGTTAGTTCCTCTTTGCTTTCTGCCATTAGATATCATCTAGATATCTAAGGTTGTTGATATTTCTCCTGGCAGTCTTGATTCCAGTTTGTGTTTCATTCAGCCCAGCCTTTCACATGGTGTACTCGCTGGTACCATGGGGAGAGTTAATGTACGTTGCCTTTGCCCTATTGAAACCTTTGCCATTACTAAAACTGTGATGAGGTCTATGGGACTTGGAAGGGAGGCAGCATACGCTCCCTGGCTTCAGGGTTGGATAGATCTGCGTTCTCTGTCCCTCAGGAGCGCCACCTAGAGGTGAGAAGAAGTTTTGAGGGCTTCCACTCTGGCTTTGTTGGAAATGCCTTTATTTGAAGAGGAGCAAACTAGTTAAGAGGTCGGGATATACAGGTTTGCTGCTGAGAAGAAGGTCTAAGTGTTTCTTAGTTGTAGTTGAAATCATGGAGTTAGACAAGGGCACCCAGAGAGAATATGTCAGGTGGGATATCAAAACCCCATAGTCAGATGGGGGAAGAAGAGCCCTTAAAAGATGCTGGGCAGAACTGGTCAACAGGTCAGAAGAGGACCTGGAGGGGCTTGGAGAAGACAGGTGGAGTAAGTGGTGCTGAAGGCAGTAGAGAACTCAGGCCAGGCAGACCAGGCCAGAATGGTATCCATCGGCCCTTGCACTTTGTAACATGGAGGTTCCTGAGGCGAGAAGCTAGAAGGTTTTGGTTGAATGGTGGCTGTGGAAGCCAGATTTCAATTGGCTCAGTCTTTCGTTTTTTTCAGAGGTGTGCTGGAACCAGCTTGGACTGCCTGGCAAGAGCCAGTTGTCAAATTTTCAGGAATTTTGGAGCTAGTTGTTAAACACGGTCATTATTTTAAAATTGATTGTATAAGCTTACAATCAACTGGATTATATTAAAACAATGGTAATAAATTCTCAAAACTCAACACTTCTTATTATGTCCCTGTCTATGCTACTGAAGTTATTTACATATGTCTCTTCCGTAGGCTGGAAATACCATATTAGATGTGCTATACCTCTTACTAGTTCTGTCTTTTTTTTTTTTTTTTCCCCCTAAAGTAATGGTTTATTTGCAGGGTGCCACACAGGGGAATGGGAGACAAGTCCCAAGTTCACTCCATCTTGGTCACTGAGTTAGGGATTCGTTTTCGTATTTATTTTTATTTATTTAATTTGGCTGAGCCAGGTCTTCATTGCAACATGTGGGATCTAGTTCCCTGACCAAGGGTCGAACCTGGGCTTCCAGCATTGGGAGCACCAAGTCTTTGCCACTGGACCACCAGGGAAGTCCCCACTAATTCTGTCTCTAATGCACCACATTAATAGCCTGAAATTGGCCATGGTGGGAGTATTTACGCCATAGGAATTGACAAATGCTACAGATCAAGAACTTTATGGTATGTTTGGAGAGTCAGTTATTAAATGTTTAACAAGCACATAGAGAGGGAGAACAGAGATGCCTCTGAGGAATCTTTGCAGTGCTTAGAAAGTGAAATTATGACAGCTGGAGGTACATATGGGGTATAGTAAGGGTGGTTTATGTTTTCCCTACCTTTTCATTTTGAAAATGTTCAAAGCTACAAAAAGGTTGCAAGAATAGTACAGTGAACACTCATACACCATTTACCTACATTTGTTTTGCCACATGTGCTTTAGCATTTGCTATGTACATGTGAGGGTTTCCCAGGTGGTGCTAGTGGTAAAGAACCTGCCTGACAATGCAGGAGACATAAAAGATCCTGGTTCAATCCCTGAGTCGGGAAGATCCCGTGGAGGAGGGCATGGCAACCCACTCCAGTATTCTTGCCTAGAAAATTCCATGAACAGAGGAGCCTGGTGGGCTACAATGCATGGGGTCACAGACTTGGACATGACTGAGTGTCTGAGAACGGAGGTTGATTTATAATTTTGTGTTGGCCTCAGGAGCACAGCTAAGTGATTTGTGATATACATATATATATATATAATTAATTAATTAATTAATTTTTAACAGTTCTTTTCAATTATAGTTTGGTATAAGACATTGAATATAGTTACCTGTACTATACAGTAGGTCCTTGTTGTTTGCTTATTTTATATATGTGCTCAAATGCTCAATCATGTCTGACTCTTTGTGACCCCATGGACTATAGCCCACTAGGCTCCTCTGTCCATGGAATTTTCCAGGCAAGAATACTGGAGTAGCATTATGTGTTTGGAAAAAAAAGGAATACTGGAGTAGGGTGCCATTTCCTCCTCCAGGGGATCTTCCCAACCCAGGGATGGAACCCACAGCTCTTACAACTCTTGCATTGGCAGGTAGATTCTTTACCTCTAGCTCCACCTGGGAAGCCGTGTTATATACAGTGGTGTGAATCTGTTAAGTCAATAGTCCCAGTTTATCCCCCCACCCATCACCTTTAGTAAGTGAAGTTTGTTTTCTGTATCTATGAGTCTGTTTCAGTTTTGTAAATAAGTTCATTTGTACTGCTTTTTAGACCCCACATATGTAATATCATACAATATCTGTCTCTTTCTGACTTACTTCACTTAGTAAGCTATTCTCCAGGTCCATCCATGTTGCTGCAAATGGTATTATCCCACTCTTTTTATGACTGAGTAATAGTCCATTACTTATTATACATAGAATATCTTCTTTGTCCATTCACCTGTCGATGGGCACTTAGCTTGCTTCCATGTCTTGGTTATTGTAAATAGTACTGCTCTGAACATTGAGATGCATGTGTCTTTTCAAATTAGAGCTTTTGTCTTTCTTGGATAACTGCCCAGGAGGGTGATTGCTGGATATATGGCAACTCTAGTTTTAGTTTTCTTCAGGAATCTCTATAGTTTTCCATAGTAACTCTGCTGATTTACAATCCTACTAATGTGTAGGTTTGTACCTATCTTTTTTCCGTGTCTTCTCCAGCATTTATTATTTGTAGACTTTCTAATGATGGCCATTCTGACCAGTATGAGGTGGTACCTCATTGTGGTTTTGTTTTGCATTTCTCTAATAGCAATACTGAGCATCTTTTCATGTGCCTATTGGCTATCTGTCTTCTTTGGAGAAAAGTCTGTTTAGGTCTTCTGTAGCCTGGGCACAAGGTTAACAAAGGCAGAAAAGGTAAAAGGGAAGGGATTTTTGTGATTTCAGCTTCCTGAGTAGACCTCGGTTACAGGGTTGCCAGCCTTGTCTTGTAACTTGGTGGGTCATTGGTGATTGTGCCTGATCTACGTGTTCCTACAAAGCAAAGCAGCAAATCGTG